TCCCATGCGACATAAGCCTTCTTTGTTTTGAAATCCTTCTTGCCTTTGAATTTTCCTTTATTTGCGAGTTTCGGGCAATCTGGCTTTATGTGACCTTGTTTCCCACATTCGTAACATGTAGTTTTTTGGTTTGATGTGGGTGCCTCCTTTTTCCTGAAATGTCTATTCTTTTTAGAAAAAGAAGAAATTTTATTATTATTAAAAAACTTACCAAGCTTCTTTACTAGAAGCATGAAATTTTCGTCTTCGGAAGATTCGTCATTTTTATCATCCCTTGTGTCAATCTTCAAGGCAATTCCTTTGGACTTCTTGTCTTGACTTTCATGTTTCTCAAGCCTTCCAAGTTCCAGTTCATGCCCTTGAAGTTTCCCGAATAAGGAAGCGGATGTCATTGTTGAAAGACTTTTCTTTTCCGAAATGGCGGTCACCTTCGGTTGCCATTCTCTTGTCAAGGATCTTAGGACTTTTAAGTTGAGATCATTATTGGTGAAGGTCTTCCCGAGAGCAATCAGATGATTTGTTAGATGAACGAACCTTTTTTGCAAGGCAACAATAGATTCACCGGGCTGCATACGGAACATCTCATATTCTTGACTTAACGTGTTAAGTCTTGATCTTTTTACTTCTGCTGTTCCTTCATGCGTTTCTACCAAGGTATCCCAAATCTGTTTTGCCGATTGACACTGTGATATGCGAAAGAATTCATCCATATTGAGAGCGCTTTGAAGTATGTTGATTGCTTTCTTCTCATTCAAGATTCTCTTCTTGTCATCTTCATCATATGAGGATTTAATCTTTGGGGTTCCAACACCATTTACCACACTTGTAGGAACATGTGGACCATTTTCTACGGTTTCCCATATACCATCTCCTTGAGCCTCAAGATGTGCCTTCATACGGATTTTCCAAAAGTCGAAGTATTCTCCAGAAAAGAGTGGTGACTTGTTACTACTTCCACCATCTTTGAAAACCGGGTTAGTACTAGCGGAAGCCATTAGGATCGATAGGAACAGGTTACCTTAACCTGCTTTGATGCCAATTGTAAGTACAGAGTATGCCTAAGAGGGGGGGGGGGGGGGGTGAATTAGGACTTTAGAACTTTTTCTGGTTTTTATGGTTTCTTGAAATTTTACTGGTTTGTGTTCTTGGTTATGAAAGCAGTAGAAAGTAAAAGAACAGTGGACACCAAGATTTATAGTGGTTCCCCTCACAATCCGAGAGTACTCCACTCCCCTTTCAACACGAAAGAGAGTTTTCACTATTGTTTAATAAAGTACAACCTATCACACCATCAACCGGTGAGGCCTACTATCAAACAATAAAACTAACAAGTGTACAAGAACAATCCTCTTGTAAACACTCACCCTTGTGTCCAACAATCCTGGATCACAAGTCAGAATACAAATACTTGTAATGATTTTGTTTTGTGAATAATAATATCAATCAAAATTGATCTTCTCCAAATGATCAAAATTCACTCTTATAATTTTCAACACAAGTGTTCAACAGATGAATATGAAATTTTTATGCAATTATGAACACTTAGAAAGGATTTTGAAAATGATGAATTTGATTCTAAGAATATTTGAAAATGAATGTTGGAGGTGTTTTTCAAAATTGAAAAACTCAGAATTTATATGTGTAAATACACCTTTTCCAACAGGTATATTTGAGTATAATTCAAAATATGAACTGGTATAATTTTCAAACCATTTTTGAACTTGAAACAAAGTCATTTTTCAAAATACGTTCAGTGTTAATCGGTTAACCTATATGGTTAATCGGTTAACACTTGAACGTTATACAAAAATATTCAAAATTTGAAATGGTTAACCGGTTAACCTATATGGTTAATCGGTTAACACTGCTATTTTTCAGAAAAATACTTATAAAAATAGTGTTATACCAATTCTAATAGTTTAAAAAATATGCTAATGCAATGTGATCAAATGATAAATATGTTGAACACTTGTATATCAATTAACTTAATGAATTTTGATATACCATAACTTGTGTCCAAAACTTGAAAGTTGATCAGCCAAATGTTCATGAAGCTTTGAATGTTGATCACTTCCATTCCACTTGATCTTGATCTTTTGAAAGCGTTTGCCTTTTTGCACAGATGAATTATTCTTGATCTTGATGTTGACGTCATCAAAACTTTGAGATGAAGCCTGCTTCTACAGGATCCAACTCTAGTATGGTCGAAGGGTAGCTTCTGATTCGACGGGAGTTAAGCACGAGGTCGAAGTTTGTTCGCATGCTGCTGTCGAAGATAATGCATGTTGTAGTCGAAGTTTATTTTAACATGCATTAGTCAATATTGTTAGATTTGTTAGCATGTTAAATTGGGTCTTGATTGTAAGCCTAATGGTTTAAGTTAGCTTGTAATGAGTAATTGTTAAAAAGCCCATTAGGTTAATGCACTATTTTTCTTATAAATAAGATGTTAGTTTCTCAATCTTGGCATAAGAAAAAGTAGGAAGATAAAATCCTAGTTTTAACAGATAAATATTATTTTGTTATTCTTATATACTTGTAATATTGTTTCTAAGAGAAAGGGACGAATAATTGTTTATAACCAATCCTTGTTGTTTTACCTTATTTTCTTTGTTAACCCTAATCCTTGTGTTTCTTGATCAAGAAGAACCGTTTATACTTTGTTTAAAGATATCCTATATATATATATATATATATATATATATATATATATATATATATATATATATATATATATATATATATATATATATATAATGATGACGACCTAAATAAACTCATGTCATAATTTAAGGATAATGTGTGTTAATTTGTAATAGTGGTGTATAAAGAGTTCTAAAAAATAAAATAAAAATGAAAAATATATGTTTTTTTTTTTTGGATGAAATGAAATCTTACGAAAAGTTTTTTGGATGAGTCTAATATATATCCCAAAAGCAGAACAACACCACCAAACTGCCTCAAAGAAGTTTTTAAATTATAATTTACTTTGATGTCATAACTACTCAAAATTTACTTAATAGATGGAAATAGAGCTAAATTCCACCAAGTATTTCTTATAGGTTTCGACATTTATGTTATTGATTATAAGATTCCATGTATATATAATTTTAGTCCATAAAATATAAATTGACTTAAAAAAAAAAGAAATATTAAATTTTTTTTTGCACCGAAGAGTAACTGCTCAAATAAATGTTTGTAGAGTCAAATCTGTTCAATTATATTGCCATTTTCTTAATGTGGTTGTTTTGAAATTGCTCTGTTCCATAGAAGAGGTATGTCTCCTACCTCAACGTGTCCTAGGTGTCAATATTCGATGGAAGATATTCTCCACTATCTGCGTGATTGAAACCTTTCGGCAAGCTTTGGCATTACCTTGGTGTTCGCGACTCAAATTTCTTCTCAGTGTCGAATGTCTACGTGTGGCTCCGACATGGGTTTACTCAGGAGGATCCTTTCTCGTTCATCTCGGCAGTCTGGTGGTTGTGGAGGACACATATCACCATGACCATTGCTAATGAAGACTTTCCTTTCTCTACCTTGCATTACATGACTAAAAACTATGCAACATTGGTTAAGATATGCAAACATGTATCTGTGAGCAATATCAACGTCCTTCGTAAAGTCTCTTGACACCCAAGTAGGGTGGATTGTATGGTTTTAAATACTGATGGCAGTAGCTTGGGGAAACCCGACCCTTTGGAATTTAGGGGGCTCATTTGAATATCAGATGACTCTTTGATCAAACGCTTTGCAAGTCATATTGGTATTACAAACAACTTACACGCTGAGCTTATGACTTTTTAAAAAAGGTCTTCAAATCGCTTGGGAAGATGGTCACCACAACTTAGTTTACTATTCAGACTCTCTAAATGCTATCCAGCTGGTTATTATTTCTCTCAACCAGTGGCATGCCTACGCGTATGTCGTAGTTTCGATTTAGGAACAAACTAGTCGACCTTAGTAGGTTTCGTTGGTTCATACACTTCGAAAATAAAATATGTGTGCTGATATATTGGCCAAGATGAAATCTTCGATAGTTCAACCGATAATTCCAATAGAGCGTGCTCTTCCTGACTTTCTTCTTCCTTTACATGCAAATGCTATAGACGAGAAGAGATTTTACATTCTTAATTCTCTTTTAGCTTGGTTTTTTCTCCCTCTATAAAAAAAAAAAAAGAAGTGAGATGCATTATTTTTTTTTCACTTTTTTTATTGATTAGATGCATAAGCACAATTGTGCATGAAGAAGATTTTGTTACTAACATTTTGTTAAAGTACATTTGCTTTAATGAAGTGTTTCAATCCGTTGTATTTTACTTGTGATTTCCAAAATCTAAAGGTATTAAAAGACAGGTGAAAAAAGAAAAAAAAAACCCACTAATAATCCCAACCGTAACCAACTGTTCAGATCGCATTGCATCTCATTGTATCATTATCCATCACCAACGGTGTCAGATCTAGCAATAGCATGACGTGCCATGAGGACGCCAACACACAACACCAATATATATTAACAGCATAACCTCACACACTCGGTGCCCTACTACGCAAACTCCAATTCTCGATATATCACCCGAAATCGTCATCGCCAAACAGTTTGATTTCCGTCTTCGCCAAACAATAGGAATCACCCTAAAAATCATCGCTCTTCTCTTAAACGTAACCGTTTTCTCCATCAGGTATTTCGATTTCTCATCCATTTTTTATTAGGGTTTATCGTCTGAAACCCTAGGGATTTTAGTTGATTCTATTGCGTTTTAAAATCCTGCTGTTATATCTATTTGTTTGATGATTCCAAATGCTGCTTTCAAATGATGCATACATTAGATTCACTGGTTTTGTTGATATTGCATTTTCAATTATTTTATACTAATATCTTATTAGTGCACTTTAATTTGCAATAGAAAACTAACTGTCTATCTTTTTGTTTTCTTATTTGTTTGTTTGCGGATTCAGAATCTTTTCTTTGTTGAAGTTAAAAGGTTCTTTATTTAAGTATGGGAGATAGCGAACCAATGGTTGCAGAAACATCGGCGACCGAGTCTTATCCATTAGACGGTTACGATAACACTAACACTGCTTCCAATCCTGTTCCCGAAGCTGGTGCTACTGCTGTTGCTGAGGTTGCAGGAGAAGCTGCTGCTCAGGCTAATTCAGGCTATGAGCTTCCTTATTCGGGTGATGGGAGTGCGTATGCTGCTGGGGGTCCTAATTCTGTACTTCAACAAGCTCAATTTAGTGCTGTCGATGAGTCTAAGCAAGCTATTGGAGTGCCTGACGCTAATGATGCCTCCGGTGTGGTTGGAATGGAAGCTACAGAGTCTGCGATTGTTTCTGGTGATCATTCGTCTGTAAATGGTGGGGTTGATACAACTGGACATGAAAATGGAAATGCACCGGAGAATGTTGATGGTTCAGCTGATGAGAAACAACTTACAGATGCTTACGGTATGTATATGTCTTTTTTGTCTGCTACTTACACATACTCCATCACCTTTGACTAAAGCAAAGCTATCCTGATCCCTGACCTTATTGTTAGTGAAGTTTTGTAATAAAAATCAGAACTCAATGTCAGGGTTAGGTTTAAAGTTCATAGGTGATATAGTCAACAAATTAAGAGTCAAGAACTTGAGGTTTAAGTGGTTTATTAACTAGGAAATAGTTCATGTAGGCTTTGTATCTATTACTATTTTGATAATTAGTGTCCCACATTATCGTTTTCTAGTGCAAGCTGCATATCAGTCGAGAACTAATGAATTTTCACCAATATTTATATACGAGAATACAAAAAACATCAATCGCTCATGTTGTAAGAAGCTTTATTTTTCATGCATTGGAGGTGGCGTTTAAGGCTAGAACAACCGATCTTACATGTTTTTCTAATGAATGGTCGTTTTTAGCAACCAGATTTGGACTTTGAGAAAAGATATATAATGCTACTTCAATTCACTTATGTTTCACGGGACTTTGAAAATTTTCCAGGCCAGAAGTTGTAGTTTGACCTGGATATCGACCATTGATATAATAGATAGCTTTAACTGGTGTATAAATAAGTTCATACATTTAAATTTGATTCAATTTTGTTGGTTTACCACTGCATAAAGGTATTATAACTGGTTTGTAATCTGGTGATCACATATTCTAAGCCAATTCTCATCAACTTTTGGATGTCTTCTCTCATGTTTATTTAATGCCTTAATATACGTCTTATCTCCATTCATCTTATTTTGATACTTATTATTCACAATCACAACCATGAGGCTGTTCGACCAAATTATAATTTTTCCCTATTCATTTATTTCATGTTTAGCAGCTGCGTTGTCTGCTGAAGAAGATCGTTTGTGGAACATTGTAACAGCTAATTCTTCAGATTTTACTGCTTGGACTTCTCTGATTGAAGAAACAGAGAAGGTGGCAGAGGTATGCTATGTTCTACCTAATTTCTAAGACGTGAATTACATGTTGAGGATTTGATAATATTCACTTGTTTCAGCTTTGACCTATTTGGATAGTTGGACATGTCTCTAATGGCATTGTTATCTTCAAAGTTGTATGCTTGTATTTTCTATTATTTTTTGCTGGGGTAGATTTGGATGGATGGACTGATACTGAAATTAATCTAGTGTCTTGGATTATTATGTTGTGTTTTTTTTTGTGATTCAAGTTAGCTTCAACCAAATGCATGTGATGTTACCCTTTTGAAAATTCTCAGATTATTTTTGTACTTCTCAAGCCATTACTTGTTGACCATTAATATGAAGCAATATGATAAGTATGAATTAAAATAAATGACCGATTCACAATGTTTTCGTAGTTGTTAGATATATATTACATGCATGCTATTTTGATTCGGCATGTTATGTGTGAAAAGACATGGAAAATTCATATTGTTACATTTTCATCTATTTCATTTTGTTTTGATTAAAAATGTGGGTACAAGTTATGTGAGTGGGTTCTCTGGTGCTTACTGTTTCCAATCGACAATCAAAGTACCATAATTCCTGGTTTTGTAGCATTTAAGTAAGATTAGCAAATTAATGTAGTATATTTTTTCATTGATTTATTTTAAGACTTGCGGTTCTCATTTAATGATTTCTCCATTGAAGAGCAACATTTTGAAGATTCGTAGAGTCTATGATGCATTCCTGGCAGAATTCCCTTTGTGTTATGGGTATTGGAAGAAATATGCTGACCATGAGGCGCGCCTTAGCTCTGCTGATAAAGTTGTTGAAGTTTATGAGCGTGCTGTTCAAGGGGTTACATATTCGGTGGACATGTGGTTGCATTATTGCATATTTGCCATAAGCACCTATGGGGATTCAGATACAGTTCGTAGGTAATGGATGCTAAGTTACCTGTTAGCTTATTATTTTGTATGATCTGATTTTCCATTACTAGGCTCAGCTGTTTCTTGCTTGATCTCTAACCTTATTTCAGAGACCGTGCAACAGTGCTAACTCCCTTTTATGGCGGAAAAGCTTTGATGAGATTTGCATGTCAGAATGTTTTACATTGTGATGTTTAAATCCTTGGTTTTGAGTCCACTATGTGTAGTAGTTGAAATTTTAGGTCCATTTCCCCAATAAACTTTTCCGTTATTTCAAAGTTCATAGTTGTGTAGAAGGGTTCTTTTCCCCCCTTTACTGTTGAATTGGTAGCTGTTTTTATCTTTGACATTCTGAGGTGCATCAATTTGCAAATTGCTGCTGGGAAGATCTCGTCTGGTTAAGGGCTAGATGGCCTCTATGACTGCTCCATTTCTCGGACATAGTATGATTTTTTGCAGGAAGGTAAATGCAGCGTTTGGATGTCTTATATGATGTTACGAGTGATTTGTTTGTTACCCTAGAACACTAGTGCTGCTGTCTCCCACACATGGATGTGCATCTGTAAATGGATGCTTCAAGTTACATATTAATCAAAACTGCATGCTTGCATATTTCAGGCTTTTTGAACGAGGATTAGCTTATGTTGGAACAGATTATCTTTCATTTTCTCTTTGGGATAAATACATTGAATATGAGTACATGCAGCAAGATTGGGCACGTCTTGCGGTGATTTACACCAGAATATTAGAGAATCCAAATCAGCAGTTGGATCGGTATTTCAGCAGGTAATTACTTATTTTACGATTGACATTTCACTTCAGTAGTTTCCAAAAAGGAAACAGTTACTGTTTTTGGTTTTATTTCTGCGCATGTTCTCTGCTGTCTCCACTCTATTTCGCCCCAAATTAAATTACTTTAATGCTATAATTGGTTTTGCAGCTTCAAGGAGTTGGCTAGTAATCGACCTTTGTCAGAATTACGGACAACTGAGGAAGTTGCTGCAGTTGCAGATGTTGTTCCAGAGGGTACTGACCTAGGTGTTGAAGGAGAGGTTCGTCCCAGTGCTGCAGAGAATTCTCCTAAACATGTTAGTACTGGATTAACAGAAGCAGAAGAGTTGGAGAAGTATATTGCCATTAGAGAAGAGATGTATAAGAAAGCAAAAGAGTTCGATTCTAAGATCATCGGTTTTGAAACAGCAATCAGGAGGCCCTACTTTCATGTACGTCCTCTTAATGTTGGAGAGCTTGAGAATTGGCATAGCTATCTGGATTTTATAGAAAGAGAAGGTGACTTAAGCAAGGTAACTAAACTGCTTTCTTATAAGTGCACATTCTTTTAATAGTTTTTCCAGTTATAGATTGACTCACAGTTAGTAATATCTGCTGCATCATATGTTTTATTGGCTAATCTGTTGGATGAAGAAACTTTTTAACCGGGAAATTGAACTGAGACTATAAAGCATGGGCCTTCGAATTGGTTTCTTGAGGCTAAGTACTTCAAACCCTATTTTGTCAGTGGACAATTCTAGGTTTGTCATGTATTTGCAAAAGTTTATTTTTTAAAGTGTGAATGTTATGAATGCAGGTATCTTCTAATCTTCATAATCATCTGTGTGTCAGGCAAGGAGGGTCCCTCTTTTCATATTTGAGGGGCCTCTCTGTCCCGCTATGGAGTATTTCTTAATGCTTTGAATTTTCCTTTTATGCTTCTCTTTCTTCATTTTTGCTTTTTCTTTTTATTGCCGGACATATTTTTTACCAAATTTTTGTTTTGTTTGTTTGTGAAATAGATTGTCAAGTTGTATGAGAGATGTGTCATTGCTTGTGCCAATTATCCTGAGTACTGGATACGTTATGTTTTGTGCATGGAAGCTAGTGAAAGTATGGATCTTGCAAATAATGTTCTTGCTCGGGCAAGCCAAGTCTTTGTCAAGGTACTATCTTCTAAATGTTAAAGCTGTAGGTTTGGCAATCGTTTGATGCACTTTAGTGTTATATTCATCTGTAAAGTTTTAATATAAGTGAATGAGCAATATATATAATGGACTATAATACTAGCCATATGATAATAGTTCTTGAAACTTGACCTTGTGTGTAAATACATTTTAAGTCGAATACTGGTGATTCTAGAGAGCAATAGCATCCCTTGAACATTAATCTATATCCACAATTTTTTCTTCCTATCTGACTGTTGATATGTATTTCTTATTTTATTATGTGGAGAGAATACACATATAGATAGGTCTAAGCCTCCTAATCAACCCCATTAATTAAGAAGAAGATATACTAAGAGAGGAAAGATTCGATACATAATATCCTAATTGATACTACTAATAAAAGCAATAGATACTGAATAATAATAAAACAATATCTCAACCACTCCCTTCAAGGTGGTGCATATACATCATAAGCATCCATCTTGTCACATATGTAAGTAATCCGAGGTCTCTGAAGAGATTTTGTAAAGAGATCAGCAAGTTAATCCTTGGAATTAACAAAGGAGGTTCTGATGGTCCCGATGGTAATCTTCTCTCTTAAGAAAATGACAGTCGACTTCTATATGCTTTGTCCTCGTGAAAAATTGGATTGGAGGAGAGGTGCAAAGCTGGGTGGTTATCACATACAAGTTCCTGTAGTAAAGGCTTTAAAACTACTTATTCAGAACTTTCAGACTAAGGATTTGGGTCCTCTTCGTTAATTTTTGGGAATTGAGGTAGCTCAATCAAAGTTATTGTTATCTCTCAAAGGATGTATGCTATTGATATTCTAGAAGAAATAGGTCTTACAGTTTGCAAACCGGTTGACACTACTATCCTAATGTAAAGCTTCTCCCTAATCAGGGGGAGCCATGTATTGATCCAGGAAGACATCGAAGACTTGTAAGAAAGTTGAATTATCTTACCTTGACTAGACCTGATATATCTTTTCTAGTCAGTGTAGTAAGCCAGTTCCAGTTCCTGAACTCTCCTTGTGACAACCATTGGGTTGCAGTTATTCCTTAAGAATATCAAAGGATCACCTGGAAAAGGTTTTTTTTTTGTGATAGAGGCAACACTGACATCGTTGGATATTCAGATGTCGATTGGGTAGGAGATGCAAGTGATAGATGCTCTACATTGGGTTATTGTGTTGCTAAATGAGAGTTCAGCTGTCTTTTGTTTTTCCCCTGTGACCTTCCCTTAGCTGAAAACATAAACTTTATGTAGTCCGTGTTGCCAATGACCCATTTTCTTGATAGTGTTGCCAAGTGAAAGCTTATGAATATAATCATTTTTTATCCCGCCTCTCTTACATATATGACCCTTTTGAGTTTGGCACGTGATAGTGGTTTAATTACTCACTTTCTTTTCATGGAGACTTTGATAATATGTTGTAAAGCTGTTTTCCTGAAAGCCTAACCCATCTGGTCATATATACGTCCAGAGTATTTTTGCATCACTGACAAGCTTTTTCTTGTCACTACTCGTGCATACAACTTAGTCTTGATTTAGAAAGTGTGATGTTTGCATGTACCGTTGTCTACTATAGCTTTAGCTTAATTACAGTTCTTGCGAGAGGATTTTCCCCTTGATTTTCTGTTGCTTTATCAGTTTTTGCTTGTCATAATGCAGAGACAACCTGAGATACATATTTTTTGTGCTCGGTTCAAGGAGCAGGCGGGAGATATAGTGGGTGCTAGAGCGGCGTATCATCTTGTGCACACTGAAATTTCTCCAGGCCTTCTTGAAGCAATAATTAGGCATGCCAATATGGAACATCGATTGGTATGCTGACTTACAAAAGTGTTCAATTGTGACTTGATTTTTAATTAAATTTACAGCTTTTCACATCCATGATACTGCAGGGGAAGTTGGAGGATGCGTTCTCTTTGTATGAACAGGCCATTGCCATTGAGAAAGGAAAAGAACATTCACAAACACTGCCAATGTTGTTTGCTCAGTATTCTCGATTTGTTTATTTGGTAGGTCTGGTAGCATATTTGTATTCTTCGCTTGTTATGCATGCTTGTTTCTGACATTTCTATATCTGGCTTTTGAACATGAAATAGCTACAGCTCCTCTTTATTAACATTAGCTACTGTTTTTTGCTGACCTCTCTGGATCCTGCTCAATGATAATAATCTTTATGAGCTTCTCATTTATGCCGATTAGTAAAGCATCCAAATGATTCTGTACAAAATCACGACCTCAATTTTAAAATGACAATTCTTACATTTATTTTTTTACAGTTTTTTAGTTTTTTGCCACGGTTGCTCTGCTCGATTGTGAATAAATTGTGTTGTCTTGTTTTTGAAATATTCTCTCCCATTCTGTCATTAGGCTTCTGGAAATGCTGAAAAGGCTAAAGAGATTTTAGTTGGGGGGCTTGAGAATGCTTCACTGTCAAAGGCACTACTTGAGGTCTGTCGGAATTTTCACTTTCAACGAACCCTTGCATTAATTGAGTTTAAAATTCATCTTTTCATCTTTCCAATTGTTGTTCATATCTAATGAGATCATATGACTTCCATGTTGTACACAGGCTTTATTGCATTTTGAGGCTATTCAACCCCAGCCAAAACGAGTTGACATTGACTTTTTAGAGTCATTGGTTGTAAAATTCATAACGCCCAACCCAGAGAACCCTGGGGTAGCAAGTGCAACAGAGCGTGAAGAACTTTCTACTATTTTTCTGGAGGTGATTTTCCATGGAGATTCAATGTTATATTTTTACGAGTTTCCTTGAGTAATGTTGGGGACACTTATTCTAAAGCACTCACTTCACATCATATCACATCTCAGTGAGCGTCTATAATAAACTTTGTTTAACCAACAGTTTACCTGGAGTTAATCAATGGGTTTGGGACAGGGTATTACATGTAAGTAGCCGTGTGGTTACTGTTTGGTAAACTCCATATAGCTAAACATGGATATTCAAGCCGATGACAACTTTTGTTCCATATCTTAGGGACTATGTCACTGGGTGCACTGTGGTGTCTTTTCACACTCGACACAAACTTGTTCACATGAAAAATGTAGTAGACGGGGTCAATTTAGCAGTGAGGACCTATTTTCACTTCAGATATTGACTTTTGTCTTGGAGGATATCTAGGGTGGGTCATTTACAAGTAGTATCATCAAGTCAAATCCTAGTGGTAGTCAGTATATGCATGTTTGTTGTTTTGTATGGTTTTTTATTCAACTTTAAGGTACACATCTAATGCTACAGTAAAGAAGTGTATGTTATAGCATTTTTATTTTTTGTTTGTTTCACATCTGTGTTTCTTATTTGTTACTAAATAAGTAAATTAATTTGTTAAAGGAATTATGCCTGCTCTGTTTATGCCATACTTTAATTTGTTAATAAATGTTACTATTTTTAATTCCATATCTATTTTCTGTTGATTTTTCAGTTTTTAAATCTCTTTGGAGACGTTCAATCTATCAAAAGGGGTGAGGATAGACATGCCAAATTGTTCTTGCCACACAGGAGCATGTCAGAGTTGAAAAAACGTCATGCAGAGGATTTCTTAGCTTCAGATAAAACTAAAGTGTCGAGAGCTTATTCTGCTCAATCACCAGGCCATTCTGTAACGGGTGCATATCCAAATGCACCTAACCAATGGACTAACTATGGAGTACAGCCTCAAACTTGGCCAGCGACCACACAAGGACAGCAATGGCCTGCTGGCTACACCCAGCCGGTAAATTACTTTTCTTTTGTCCCCCACCTATTTTGGTAGTATGTTGTTTGAATGGGTTTTGTCCATGACTTGGGACACTTTGTTTTTCTGACCATGTTGTGCAATATTAACTGTTTTTGTTCTTGGAAATAGGGGTGTGGACATTTTTGTTCTTGGAAATAGGGGTGTGGACATTTTTGTTCTTGAAAATGGTGGTGTACACATAAGATGTGTCGTAATCCTAATCCATGAAGCATTAACGTTACTGAGCACACTATATTAGCTTAGTTGCAATCCTAATCCATGAAACATAAGACGTGTCACAATCCTATCTCAGATTGCAATGAGCTGATTACCCCTTTAATTTATATTTTTGCCTTGAGCCCATATAAGACATCTTCATGCATCTTGTCTAACAGAAAACCTTGTCACGAGTGCTCATCATTCATGCTGCGCTTTGACTGTTTGGCATTTGTTGTAAATTGTATGTTTGGCATTGTATTAGTGCTTTGAGTGATGATGTATCTGTTTTTAAGTGATCCATTCTAATATGATACAGGCTTCATATGGGGCTTATCCTGGATATGGAGGCAACTATGCTAACCCTCAATTGCCTGCACCAGTTCCACAAAGCACTGCTTACGGGGCCTATCCTCCTGCATATCCTGCACAGGTGAAAAGCTATTACAGATCTAGTTGTAGTGATTATTTGTTCCCTGATATATTTCTGCTCCACGGTTCTTTCATGTTATAGTAATTACAATTCTGCTCCGTTGAACAATTGGAAGCAAAAGAAAGGAAAGTGTGTGATGGTAGGATAGGGGGGCATATTAAGTGAGAGGATTGAGTTATGCGAGATGTGAGAGAATGTAATAGTTAAGATCAAAGTAAATTATCAAAGATTAAATCCCTCAGTATCAAGATTAAATCCCTCAGTTAAAATTGGATGTGATCAAAATTTCTTTCTTTATTCATTCTTGCTCACGATTACCTAGACTACATTTTAAAACCACCATCTGTTGCATTTTATTCAAATTGAAATTGAACTACCTGCTAATCTAAATCACCAACACCTTCATATTTGAACAATCCCATACCACTTTCACCTATGAGGACTCTCATTTGAGCCACTGACACGAGTCCTTCAAAAGTGAAAATGGAAACATGCAGGTTTTTCTACCAGATTAAAGTGATATTACAATATTAATATGAAGAAAATTTTGAAATTACAACAGCAGCTAAGCTTTATCCCATTAAGTGGACAGGCTCCCACATATGAAGTGTTGGCCAAAATGTTCTATCAAAAACCATGCTTCTATCCAAATAATTAATCTCAAAATCTTTCTTATCTTGTGTTGATTCTTAACTGCCAACATTCCGATAAAAAAATAAATTGGACAAGCTAGGCTCCCACTTATGAAGCGTGGGCCAAAATCTAGAATCTTAAAGTCAATTAATGAAATCTAAAAAGAAAAGAACATGGCTTGTGAGAGAAACATAGAAACGAGAAAAAAGAATCAAGAGATGTGCAACAGGTATAAACTGAAGGTCTTTGCGAGAAAGATATGGGCAAAGACCACTTTCAATTTTAATTGAGGGGTTTAATCTTGATAGTGTATTTAGGTTGGCATGATTAATAATACACATTTGGTATCATTTCTCAGTTGATGTCTGACTTCTCTAACGTTTTCTGATCCTTGTATTTCTGTGCATTCTGCTAAACCAGCGAGTATTGGGAATTGGATCTAGTGTTAACTCTTTTGTCTGAATTTCAACAGGCACTTCCTCAACAAAATTATGCACAACCTGCAGCCCCGGCACAGCAACCCGGAACAGTTCCTCAGGCCTATTACGGGAGTTATTACTGAGTTGACTGAGTGAGATGGCTACTCTTTTTGCTTCATGTAATTTTTGCCTTGAATATTGTAGGTAATTGTTTCTAGGTAATTTGGAGCATAGATCAGTGTAAACTTTAAGTGATAATATTGAGTGTCCTGAGGATAGATAGTCTTTTTGACTCAATTGTAGTTATGTTGTTGCTTATGACATTTTCTTGATATTGATCTTATCACGGGTTGGTGCTTTACAAAAGGTTTCTTCAATCTAATATGAAAGACAAATGAAAACTGTATTTTGAGAGAAGCTGTTCGGATGCGTTTTGATTACAATATTGCATCTCTTAATCGTATTTCTTTTTCCAAATAGCCAGTCATATTAATTATTAGTTCCCAGATATTGCTCTGGTAAAAGGAAGACATTATCAAAAACATGAGATGTGTAGAGTATCGGTTGAAACGCATTGAACATCTGTGGAACCTCTAATTTGAAAGGGTTTTAATTTTGCAAGCCTCTAAATTTCATCAGCCATCATTACAAACTTTTTTGTCATTGCAAAATTTTTAGCTTAATGTTGGAATATGTATGATGTCTCAATTTAAACGGAGTGAATCTCTTTTTTTTGGTTGGAATTATGGGGAACCTAGGATGTATTATTGGTACTTGGATATATATTGCGGATTTTTTTTTTTTTATCATTCTAACCAACTTTTTCATTTCAATATAGGATATACCATATTTTCCTATGCTTCAATAATACATATTTTTCTACAAACTAGTAGAATATCCGTGCGTCCTCACGGGTAAGTTGATTCCTATCTTAATCATTCGATAAAAAATATAAATGTTTGTGCTTCTTTAATAATACATAGGTATTTTTAAAGATGTATTAACAATAATTGATAAAGTTTGAATAAAAAAATATCAAGAGTAATTATCTCATAAATAGTTGTGTAAATTTGAAAAAAAAAATACTTAATAACAAATAGGTATTGTTATGGTAGTGACCCGTGAGGAATAAACATTTTGAATATATAAACTATTTGATATAAATAATTTTGTATTATACAATTGTATTGAAATGCATACACGCGATGTTGAGTAGTGATTAGAATTTTAAAAAAAATTATCTAACTAAATTATGGAAAAGCATGCCATATCCATGTTATTGAGCTCTCAAAGAGAGGAGGGGATTGCAACTTAATGAACTGGAAGAATTGAGACTAAAACCTTACGAAAAATGCCGGGCTTTATAAGGAAAGAACTATAATATTGCATGATAAGTGTATCCTAAAAAGAAATTTCAAAGAAGGTTAACTTATACTTCTATTCAACTATAGGTTGAAACTCTATACGGAAAAACTCGGCTCTAGGTAGTCAGGACGAAAAAGATAACATTGTTTGATGCGTTTGGTCATGAGAATAAATTGTATAAAATAAAACCAGAAAAAAAAAATCAAAGATATGCATACAAATTTCATTCATATAGTAAATCATTTAACAACTCTGGTCATGAGAATAAATTGTATTGAAAAAAACCAGAAAAAAAAAAATCAAAGATAATGCATAAAAATTTCATTCATATAGTAAATCATTTAACAACTCTGAGAATAAGTTTTTTAAATAAAAATTTCATTCACAAAGTCCTTAAATGTTTACACCGTAACTGGAAATGAAACATCACCGTGATTTTCAAAATTAAAGACATGTTCATTATCATTTGACTACTCTATTTGATAAATTAAAAAAACATAAAATTGAACTAAACTGTTTTGCTGCAAGTAGAGATTGGGATAAAAAAATAAGGAACTTACACTAAAAGTTGAAGAAGTCAAAGACAAAAAAGTTAGAAGGTATAAAACTGCAAAAATAATGAAATGTCACCCTTTATTCTAACATATTTTCAATGCGGAAAGTGTAACAAGTTAAAATGTCCAACGAATCAAAGGAAACCTCCTGAAAGATACATGTTCCGGTATGGGCCTCACCTCGGCAGGCCCAATACCACATGCGGCCCAACAAGCGAACTGGGCACGCCTGGCACGCGCCCCTTCGAACGAGCAGGAGCTGGCCGCCGAGCACAAGCTACATCTCCACATCCCTTTTTGTCGTCCGCCACGCCGGACGAGCAGGACCACCCGGGCTCCCCTCCGCGGGGAGAATAACGTGCCCGGCGCACGTTCTCCACGTGCTCCCCTCCGCGGGGAGAATAACGTGCCCGGCGCACGTTCTCCACGTGCTCCCCTCCGCGGGGACACGTCACCGGCCAACTGCCCACCTCCGAAAGAGCAGGTCAAACCCACTTTCCGGAGATCTAGGAGCGGTTGAACTAGGGCGAAGACCACGTCCTGGTCTTCACTACGCCACGTAAGCCCTAGCAGTCATTAGGGTTGGGCCTGGTCGTCCAGCCCACCTCGAATGACCGTTGGCCCAGCGCTGAGGTCTCTCTATAAAATACCCTCTTCTTCAAGAGGGTCAGGTAACTCTTCTTGCCCCTTTTTTCTGTACTATTGCTTCCTCTCTATCCAACTTCTTACTTGGGCGTCGGAGTGCTTTGCAGGTACACCCCCCTTTCTCTTTCTCACCCCGGCGAACAGATAACAGCCCAACGGAGTGTGGCCAGTCCGTGATCCCTCCTGATCAGGTCAGATCAGTGGCGCCGTCTGTGGGAACCTGAAACTTCCCCGTTACTCCGAGCAGAAAACCAAAAATTTCACCAAACCTCCACGGTCATGGCCAGCCCACGCCGCGATGACACTCCGCACGACCTTGCGCTCAACACCGCCACCAACGGGAAACAGGAAGGAACGACGCGTCTGACGGAAGCCGACGAAAGGGACGGGCAAACTGCTTCACCATCATCCGAGGAACGGCCCCTACAGGCCGACCATCGCCCCCCGAGCCCGCCAGCATTCCACCCCGTTCCCATCCCGGCGGGAGCAGACCCAACGGTGGCCGCTCTCTTTACAGCCATCAACCAGACGAACCAGCTGCTGTTCCAACAAAATGCTAGAATTGGAGCATTGGAACGCGTCGGCCCCCCGAGGTACCCCCAGCGGGAAGACCAGAACGGAGGTTCGAGGAGCCCCTCACCTCGACTCAGGAACCGCCGGCCACGGCTGGAGAGACACCGCCCGCAGGCGACGCGGGAGCGCACCAGATCCCTGGCGAGACACGGTCGCGGGAGGAACCAGAACGCCGCGGCAATCCCAACCGAGGAACCCCGAGGCGGGAACTCAGGCCGAAGATCGAGGACCCGAAACCCGGGACACACCGTGAACGGCTCATCTCCCCTAAGATCCCCGGCGCACAGTGACGAGGATGACTACCGCACCCCGCTATCCCGGGAGATCATGGCAGCCCCCATACCCCAGGGAATGTAGAAACCACCGACGCTGTCAACGTACGACGGCACCTCCGACCCGGACGATCATCTGGAAGATATCGAGGCTATGCTCGACTACCGAAACGTCCGGGGAGCTATTAAATGCAGACTCTTCCCGACGACTCTGAGGAAAGGCGCTATGGCCTGGTACAAAAGTCTGGAGCCCGAATCAGTTACGTCGTGGAGGGTCTTGAAGGACCTGTTCTCCAAACACTTCACGGCGTCCCGGCGTCACCCGAAGACGGAAGCAGTCCTCGGGGCAATCATCCAAGGCCCCGACGAACCCCTCCGGAAATACATCGAAAGGTTTACTCGGGAAGCCGTGCAGGTGACAACTTCCGACGAAATGAAACGCTACTTAATGGAACAAGGCCTGCGCCACGACTCCAAATTCTACGAGGCCGTAGGCATACACCGACCCACGTCCCTCCAAGACTTCCTCGACAGGGCCGCGCATTACATCCGGTTTGAGGAAACACAAGCGGACAACTCTGCTCGCGACACCCGAGACAGAGAAGCCCCCCGCAGGCACCGAGACGACGGAGCTTCGAGCCACCGACGAGGAGGGGACCGCCGTCGGGAAGACCGCCCCCGCGAACCCCGCGAACAGCGCGAGCCACGCGGCCCGGCAGGAAGATTCACCGAATACACCGCCTTGGTCGCTTCACGCGAACGCATACTGGCCGAATGCGCTAAAACCGAGTTTGTGCAGGGAGGTGTCCGTTTTCCACGATCAACGCCGCCCAAACCCAACGTGGACAAGTCAAAGTACTGCCGATTCCACAGGACCCACGGGCACGTAACGGAAGACTGCATCCATCTCAAAGATGCGATCGAAATCCTAATCAAAGACGGGCACCTAAAGTGATACACCCGAGGAGGTGAACCACCCAGGTCAGAGGCTCCGGAGGCTAAGAAAATCGAGGAACTCCCCTCTCCAGAGGACAGCGGGAGACTCCAGGTCGCGCTGTGCGTCAGCCGCCCCGAGGATTGGTTCGCGAGCAGAGGATTCGGCATCCCCGAAGGACCCAGCCTAGTCGACGAGCCAATCCGACCAACCAGCCGATGGGAATACTTCCCCAGAGCCATGGTCATCTCCGATGGAGCTACGAGGAGTCTGTCCATAGGATCTGTGAAAAGGAAATTCGACGAACTCATCGCGAGCAACTCCGGCAAGATGAGCACGCTCGACAAATTCCGGGGCCGCTCCAACCCGATCACATTCTACCTCGAGGAACTACCCGGGGGATCTCCCAATTCCAACATACCCTTGCTCATACGTGCCCGAATGGCAAACTTCGACGTCAGGCGCCTCCTCGTCGACGGCGGGAGCTCGGTTGACATAATGTACTCACATCTGTTCACAACTCTCCAGCTCGACGAATCAAACCTCTCCCCCTACGTAGGCTCCGACCTCCAGGGGTTCAACGGGACGACGACGAGACCCTGGGGATACGTGGAACTGAAAGTCACCTTTGGGGAAGAGGAAACGGCCAGGGACATCAGCGTCCGCTTCTTAGTCATCGAATGCCCGTCCCTATATAACTGCATCCTGGGCAGGGCGACGATAGCAGAACTCACCGCGGTACCCTCCACCGTCCACCTGAAGATGAAATATTACACGAGAAGGGGAGTCGTGGTCACCCT